CAGTTTTTGCTGCTATTATTTCGTGTCTTGGCATTTCTAGAGGGAGGCGCATCCACATTTGAACAGTTGAGCGAGAAAATACACATTTGCTTATTTCATCTCAAGCAACTACTAGTTAGGCAGTTCCAAAGAGGATGAATAGCAAAAGTCTAAGAATTGACTCTCAATACATGTGCTGTATAGTATCTGATATTTTGAAGAAAAAAAATGTAATAAAGTAGTCAGTTAACCTCGCTCTCTACTTTTACTTGTCATTTACGCAGCTTTTTATTTTCCTTTTTGCCAATACGCGTCTGTTTACACTATATGTGTATGTGTAGAAAAAATTGGCATACTTGTCCTTTATCACAAAATCAAAATTCTTATATATAATCTTGATATGAATATGAACTAATAAAGTGACATTTTTTTTTTTTTTTCTTGCCAGATGCAAACATGGATTCAATAATCAGAAAATATACTACTTTATAATCATTTCTGAATATTAACTAAAGGCAGAACTGTGGTAGGGTTAATGTGAATACACAAATGCCTCATCAATGTGTGTATGCATTGTGTGTGAAAGAACTGCAGTTGTGTAACACTTTATTTAGAATCTTTGGTTTTATATTTCATACACATTTTGAATCCCTTCTCATACAAAATGCCATAGCATGTAATTAATAACTAATATCTATATATGTATATATATATTTCTTTTCTTTTCTTAGATGATAGCAGGCTTCAGTGAATTGACAAATTGGGGATATTTGTTAATTTTGGAGATAGTTTGAATTTTTTTTTTTTTTTTTAGAGAAAAATGGTAATAACTGGGGCTAGTCATGTTTCTGAATAAGAACAATGTATTGTTATTCAAACCATGTCTAAGCTCTGAGACAGGGGTGATGTATTCATACAACTTCTCAATTTCCTCCTTAATTTTTCCCTTTCCCTCTTAGCATGATCTGTTAGCTGCTGGGAAGTTGTTTCATTCTCCATCTCTTAAACACTGACAATATTCGCCAAAGCATTTTTCATCAGGTTTGAGTCATATACCTTGCTTGGCCATCGAAGAACCTCCAGGTGGTATTAGTCATGGACCCACTTCCTAACTGCCTTGTGTGTAGTATAGGGCAAATATCCTGCACAAATATGATTGTTTCTAGGAAGGGGCAAAAGGAAAACTGAACAATTCATATATTTGTCTCTCAGCCAATATATGTAAGAACCCACCCCCACTTTGTTATAATATTAATGTGATCATGATGGATATATGAGATAATAATCCTGATAAAATTAAATTTTGCTTTATTTTGGACTTTGCAGATGCCACCAACATGCAGAGCACCACACACACACAACATATGCACAGACACACTTACACACACACACACACACACGAACACAACACACACACAGACGACAATACACACACACAGACTACACACACAACAGTCACACCACACACACACAACACAGAACACGACACAGACACACACACACACCACAGACAACACACACAACACACTCACACCCACAGACACCACACACACAGAACACACACACACACACACACAGACACACATACAGACACACACACACCAACACACACACACACACACACACACACACACACACAACACACACACACATGACACACACACACACACACACACATACACACACACAGACACATACACAACACACACATCAGACACAGAACACACACACAGACACACAACAGACCACACAGACAACACACACACACACACACACACACACACACACCACACACACACAACACCACACACACACACACACACACACACACACACACCACACACAAACACACACACACCACACACACACACATACACACAAACACACACATATAACACACACACACACACACATACACAACACAACACACACACACACACACACATACACACACACATACAAACACACATACAAACACATCCACACACACACACACACACACACACACACACACACACACACACACACACACACACACACACACACACACACACACACACACACACACACACACACACACACACACAACACACACACACACACACACACACACACACACACACACACACACACACACACACACACACACACACACACACACACACACACACACACACACACACACACACACACACACACACACACACACAAAGTGACAACGGATCTATATATTCACAGTAACCTCACTGCGATTTTGTGTTTACTTCATGTTCTATATTGAAGAAAGCAATGTAACATGCATGTTCTATATTGAAGAAAGCAATGTAGCATGATTTCTGTTTATTCAAAAAGTGTTTGGTTCTGGCAAAGAGAAAAAAAAAAATTATCACTGTAATAGTTCGATTAGCCGCAACTAGATGGTGCAGTCACCACTGAAAGGTCTCAGTCATTTTAATATAATTTTAGCTGATTTAGTTGCCAAACATGGATATTTAAATCATTAAACTGTTTCGTATTTCAA